ACAACTGGGACCACTGTGTCCGTATGTCCAGCTACTCAGGTGAGTAATATCAAAAAGCTAAAAGACCATAGTATCACTTTTAATAATAGTCATTAAAAGTGCACATTATCCAAACCACTAAAATGGATCTTATCTCCTTGTAGATATCTATCAATAGGTCAGAATGTGGATCCCAAAGGCTCTGTGCAGCTGAGCCCTCCGACTGCGACGCGTCTACAGACGCATCATGTTCCTTTCTATCTGCCCAGCAGACCAGTGGTCAAATGTTTAGGTTTGAGCTCACAGGAGAATCTACTGGCTACGTTGCTGCCACCCTGTCAACTGACACCACAGGGGTACGTCAAATTCTCTCACTAAATAGTGGAAAATACATGAACCCTAACCAATCATATAGTTTGTTTAAACATATATGTGTAAGCCAGTACCACTGACTTTCTCTGGTTTTGTACCACAGGGAGGCAATGACACATCCTATGTCTGCGCTAACAACAACGGCACGGTTGACATCTTCGGCGCCTTACTTGACAACAACATGTTGACTCGGACAACAGTGAGTTTGCCTGGGGTGCTAAAACAAACATAAATAAATTTTTCTTGGGGTCTACATCCATCAATTTCTTTTTATTGTGGAGTGCAAATAATTAGAATACGTCTTGTCTGAAGACCGATTTTGTGTATGTACGTTTGAAATCACTTAATTAATCATTACAAAGATAAATCTGATAAGTCATTATGTTTATTTTTGTAAAAATACTCGTGCCCCAATACATAGCCTTTCTGAACCTGCTGCTTAAGTCATTTTAAAGCAAACATTAATTCAAATCACAAGCATTTGCATGGTATACTCTCATCTGTTACAATACCATCAGTGAAAACGTTCCCTTTAGTGATCTGTCTTTGCTCTGCAGCTGGAAGTGACCTGTTTGAGTGCCATAATCAATGGAACCACAATCCAATGCACCTTTAATGCCACAATACCAGATTCAACTGCTAGGACAACAAGTTTCTCACTTGCAATCTCAAATGGAACTTTCAACTCCAGTAAGTTAACATATCCAATACAACCCACTGTTACAGAAATAATCACAAATTAACAATACGTTCTTATTTTCTCATTTGCTATAAACTTATCAGTGATCTTTTGGTATTTTTTCTTCTACTCTCAGCTTCTGGTAGCCTGGGAACCCCCAACACTATACTAAGAAGCCCTGTTCTAAACTTGGCACAACCTAATGTTACCGTCGTCAACTTGGTTAATAACTCCACCACCAACGCCACAACTGTGGCCCCCACAACCACTGCCCACGCAGTCACACTCCAGCAATCACTACTGCAAGGTACGCTCAAGAAATAAGATTGTTTTTCAACGATTATCTGAAAATGGAAACATTAACAATTCCCTAACATTTGTTTTCTGTTCTTCCATTCCTACCTGTAGCTCTGCTGCTCACTGTGGCTGCCCTGGCTCCAAGCATGCTATGAGGAAAATCAAACCTGCAACATTCAAAAATATGAGAAATTCCACATCCATGCATTTGTGCTACTGAATGAAAACTTGTCTTACAGGAGGTTTACTATAATTTAGTTTTGTACTAACTCATCACAGGTGAAAGAAAGGGGACTGGCATAAGTGGTAACTCTTACAATTTTCTGATGCTTTTGAAACTTTATAAGACTTGTAAACAATTTTAAAACCCAGGACTGCTGGATTTCTGTCCTATGCCTCAGATGTAACGTATTCATTAAAATGTGTAAAAAACAGGGAACAAATAAAAAGCAGAATTACAATTAGAAGCTTTAAGATTTAAACTATGTCCACCAGAATCATCAATAGATGTCTTGGTTTATACAAATTTTGGGTTTGAGGTCTGGTTACCTTTTAAACCCATCTTATTACTGTCAGGCAAAAACCCCATGTATTGACAAGTCAATCGCAAACACTGCAGTCATTGAATTGTTAAAGTGTGATGGAAGGAAAATGTCTTCCTACACAGTAATGTCATAGGTTTTATTCAAAAAGATGAGGAACCAATGAAAAACTTTTGTTTCCAAGAATATTCTTTTACATTTCTACAGAACAGATATGTTTGTGTTTATCACCATTTACACTCATGCATGACAGTTTTGTGGCACACACAAAGCAAGCAAAGAGTGCGTCTTTCTACTCTCCTATTACTCATAAGGATGCCAGCGAACGGCAGATATGTTTTTACATCATGTTCTTATTACTGTGAATGCACACGGGTAGTTGATTGTTCAACAATGCTTATACGATGAAGCCTTCACTGGCTGATATATTTATGTGTGTTTGTGCAAGTGTGCATGTTAATGAGTACATGGTAAATACATAAATAATGCTACATACATAGACGTGACACTAAACATTGAAGAAATGTATTTTGCAAATTGCCTTATGTCACAATGAAGTTTATATTATATATTTATGAAATAAATGTTTTACGCAAACTTACGATCTAAGTCCTGTGATAAATGAGGTCTGAAATAAGGTCTGAGGATCTGATTCTGAAACTTCAGTCCTAATAACATTTTTGACGTTGTGCAACTTTAAATTTGAATTTTACTTTCCAGCATCAGCACTGTTCATGAAATTCATGAAATTTGAAAATCAATCACATTTCAGAAATGTATTCTTACACTCCCACAGTACTAATGTTCATGGTTACTGCATAAACATGGTCTAACACCTCAAAATATAGGAAAACTATTCTGAGTGCTAACTCGTAAGGACTGGAACAGCGGGTGTCTTTTTTAACAACTGAATTTTTGGCCATTTTTAGAGCCTTGTAGGATACAGATACAGACAATACACCAAATCTGATTTCATGTATAGATTCGACAAGAAAAGTCAGCCCAAGATGAGCAGTTTCAAAGCTGAATGCATTATTAATGTCAGACGATAGTTTGAGAGGCTAGTTTGCCAAAACGCAAAAAATAACTAACATTTCAAAGGGCTCTAATTTCAAAACTTACAGGTAGAGCCTTAATATTTAGGATGTCATCATAATTTTGGCACAGGAGCACCTGCGATTTCTTTAAAAGGAATCTGAGAGAGTGACCTGCGAAAACACTCAGAAATTGGTTGATTTCATTTGGAATGACCCTTTATTATAACCTTACTAGTACAAGCTAACTATTAAACAGACGCTGCTTATGCTAGTTGCTGAATATAAACCAACTACCTTTGGAATATAAGCCATCTACCTTTGAAAGGTTTTAATAATTTGTAGTTTGAAAATTACTACAATACAAAACAGAGCTAAACTTAGGAATTTAAGTTTGTTAACGCGACAAAATTATACTTGTAAGCTAGGTAGCAAAAGCTACGACGCCATTAATGCTCTAAAGCGAACGTTAGCCCAAGTTCGTGCTGTTCACAGACATTTGAGTCTTCTCTGTAGGGCACACAAGTTTGAAGCTGCTTGTATTAGCGCAACACAGGCTAACTACTTTAGGACTTTTTTTTTAAGCAATTTGCCTGTGAAAAGATGTCTAGAATAAAGCTGAGCTAAACGTGGCTAAAAATGAAAAGTTAGCTAACCCGCCAAGGTTACACTTTTAAGCTAGTTAGCAAAGGCTACGACGCCATTAATGGTAATGCGAACGTTAGCCCAAGTTCGTGCTGTTTACAAACATTTGAGACGTCTCCAGAGGCCACACAGGTTAGATAGAAACATGTAGGTTATTTGACAACACTTACCGCTGTATTTAGTCCACTGTCGGCTGAAGAAAAACATTTTCCGTGGGCTACAACAACAGAAAACAGCGACAGAAGTTTCGCTGTGGCTGCCACGCTGCTGCCGAATGAACAAAGATGGACGCCGGAAGTGACGTTTCACAGTAAAGGGGTTTAAATAAACTCTGTCTCAATAGTTTTATTTATTTATTTTGCAGATTTCTTCTAAAATATTGGCCATGCTTTTCAACATGATATAATATAATATATATAAAATAATATTATAAGAAACAAGTTAAAATTCATTTTTCTATGCTTACATGGTGAAATTTGCACCGGTGATATTGTGCAAATGCTTTTGGATGAAGATACTGTGCGCTTTGTGGCTCAAAGCATGATATAAATCAAACCAGTGTGTGCTGCCTGGTATTTTAATGAGCTAGCATGCAGCTCTACATAGATTTTCTTTAACCAGTTTGGTTGAATTATATGAAATTAAACATGCAACAAACTTTATTTATAAAGCATCTTAACACACACAGAGGTTCAAAGTGCTTTATAGTCAAAGGTTAAAAAAATAAAATAAAATAAGAAGACAGATAAAATAGAGTACTATGAAAAAATACTGATGACGGGAAAAGGTAAAATACAGCAGGTTAAAATGTAATTCAATTAGTTTCCTAAATCAAAAACAGTGCAGAGAGTTGGATGAAATGCATACATATTTAATGGAATTAAATTCAAACTGATTCACTAAAATCAGTGGGGCAAATCTAATTTCCAAAGGGAGCTGATTCCAGCAGTGAGTAGCATCAGGACTAAATCATTTTATCCTGCTACTCCCTCTCACCTGGTCATGGAGGTTCCATGCCGGCGCTGCCAGCTCCGGGCCCGCAGAGACGGCGTTACACCTGAACTCCTTCGGCCGCTGAAACGCGCCGTGCCACCGGCCACTGAGGAGCTCCATCTTCGCATGGCGTTGCTAAATACTAGGTCACTAGTAAACAAATCGTTTTTATTGAATGACTTCTTCTCCTCACGGGATTTGGACTTCATGCTCCTAACAGAGACTTGGCTTCGGGATGGTGAGTCCACACCGCTTTCTGAACTCCTTCCTCCCGGCTGTTTATTCCTCAGCTCCCCTCGGAGCACCGGCAGAGGTGGCGGTCTGGCCTCGGTGTTCAAATCCAGCTTTCAATGTCGTCTTATTCCATCTGTTACCTACTCCAGTTTTGAACTGCAAACGTTTGAGCTTCAACTTTCCTCTTTCTACGCTATGTTCGCGGTTGTTTATCGCCCTCCAAAATTTAATAAGGACTTCATTCATGACTTTGCAGATTTTCTGTCAGGTGCCACTGTGAAATATGATCACTTTCTAATTTCTGGAGATTTCAACATTCATGTCTGCTGTGAATCAAGACCACTGGTCACTGATTTCTTAAACCTCATTGATTCTTTTAATATTGTTCAAAGTGTTAAAAACCCGACTCACGAGAAAGGGCATATTTTAGATCTGGTTTTATCATATGATTTATCTGTATGTGTAAATGAAATTTGTGAATCAGCGTGTATCTCTGACCATCTGCCTGTGCTCTTCACTGTTTCAATTCCTTGTTTGGGGGCTAAAACCTGTGCTTCTAAGC